TTCTGGGAGTTGAAGTCCACCCGTCTTAAAGTTGCCAAGGTTGAGGCACCCTGATTTAGAACCAAACTGAAAACCACCTTGCAACATAGCCCACAGTCAATCATCCCTGCTCCACGACTGAACGGAGAGACCCTTCTACCCTTTTCAAAGGTCCGTGTACGTCATCAGCACGCGCTCAAAGGCGACCCGCCAGACTCCGTGTCCCTTGCGTGCGCATGCGCTTGAGTGCCTTTTGGCTGGAAGTTACAGGAAGATCAGAAGCGTAGCTGGCGTGAGTGGCGGCGGCAGCGGTAGTAACCAAGCCGGATTTGCGGGCTGGGGGTTGCCTCTCGGGCGCCTCTTTCGTGCCCCGGGCGCAGCGACGAGGCGAGAAGAGGCGGGGTTGGCCGTCGCCGCGCCGCGTGAGGTGAAAGCGGGTGGAACGTTCTGGGGGTTCTTTGCCCGGGTTCTAGAACGCGTCGGATCCGAGCAGAGCCACGCCCTCTTTTTATCTCTTCCCCGTCCCCAAGCGGCGCCCCCGGTTGTAGTCGGCGCTTCCTAAGGCCTCGATCACTGCTGCCTTAAGAGGCAGTACCTGCGGCCTTTCCCCGCCTCCTCCCTTCCCAGCTGTTCTCCGCTCCGCCTCTGACTTGCGGAGCTGGTATGGCCGAGGGAGGTTACGATGGCTCGTCGGTTAATTCTCCTCTGTCTAACCGAGGGGCCCGAGCCCAGGGGATCAAATGGGCGAATGCCCTCCACCACGTCACATCGCATCCTTCAGGGACATTCCGACGGTTATTCCTGATTCTGTCCACTTTACTGGTTGTGTTCCCCTCGATTTGTCAAGCACGACCGCAGATGAGACTTTGCTTTAACCATTCGCATTTTTGTTGTTGCAGAAACAGCCTGTTTTATTCTCCAAGCTGTTCTACATCTCTCATTGCCTTCCCCTCTAGGACTGATGTTCTCTTCATTTCTTCAACAGACTGACCCCTCTTTATCTGTTTTTGAACCCAAAGCCGCTTGTATCTTTTCTTCTTTGGAATTTTAGGAACAATTTTTCTGCTTCTATTTTCAGAACGCCTCTCTCTCTTCCCATAGGATTTTGGGTTCTCCTTTTATAAATTTAGCGTATCTGTTTCTTCCATTGATTTTATGTTGCAACTGTATGTCTTACAGAACAAATTTTACCGGCTTGCCTACTCTTTAACTTTCTGAATTTTATGTTCTGTAGTTTCTTCCACAATCCGCCCCGGCATTGTCCTGACTGTTGGGATTTCACCTCTTCTTCTCTTTTCTGTTACAGCTTTGATCTAGCCGCATCATCATCATGAGAGTTCATCATAGCTAGAGGGTCCTTCTAACTTGGTCTCACTCAAGCTTAGCCAAATGTTTGATCTATGTCCATATAGTTTTCTTGACAAGAATACTAAAGTGGTTTGCTGTTGCCTTTTTCCAGGTTTAATTTTTGGGGTTCCTTCTCCTAGGAGCTTCTTTCATGGCTAATCCCTGTTGTGGATTACTTTTAGCTTCACTCTTCCCCTTCTGACTTTAGCGGCAAGGATAATCTTATTGGAATCTCCCACTAACATTGTTCCAAAGATCGGTGGGACTACTGAGGATGCACAGGGGGCATTCTTGGAAGACACAGCCTGCTCTATATTTATTGCATCCTTAACCTTCCCTCAGAAAAAAAAGACCTTGCAAACGTGTATTTGTTCTCTGCAGCTGGCTTTTCCGCTCCCTTTACTGATTTACTTTCATTTTGTTCTTCCACAGTTATGTCTGCTGAATGGTTTTCTTCTCCCTAAACTTTCCCTAGCCATTTGAGATTACTACCTTGGATCAAAAGGTATAAGAGCTCAGTTGTTGCCTGTTTTTGTCAAAGTTAATTTTATAGACTTTCTTCCCTGTGCTGTCATTTTCTGCAGTCTCCCAGCGTGCTTCCACAGATGCAGTACAGTTCTGACTAGGTCTACTATTCAGGAAAGAAAAATGATATATTATTTTTCCATTCCAATACAACTCAATGGTCTTATGAATTACTAAAATTTTGGATCCTTTAGAGGTGCTTCACAAACTCAGTATGTAGTTTGTCCTAGTTTGGCCTGTGGGAGAAGATAAGCATGGTCTGAACTATACCGACTGCATAACTCTCTTGCACAAATGGGGAAGAGGAGGATCATGCATGTAGCAAGAAGCTGGGGTTTGTTATGGTACCTGAATGGATCCTTTGGGGCGGGGGGGGGCGTAGTGAGAAAAGGCTATCAGTGATTTACTGTTGCTTTCTGCTTGGTCAGTATTTTGGTGTGGTCAATTCTGCCAAGCTTGCGGTATGCATCCTGAAATTATTCGGGACCTGTCCTGAACAGGTCCCAGTTTTCATGGAAACAGTGAGTTGTTGTTGTTTTTTTTAAAGCAACCACTATCACCACTATCTCATGAGAAATAGTTAAAACTTTCTCATACCAATTTAGGCATTGAGTCCTTTGTACTGAATCATGTCATTGCCACAACCAGAGCATTATATAAAACCATGACCTTAGCCAAGGTATTAATATTAAACTGCTTATTCAAGAAGAGTGATGCCAAATAGACCAAGTGGCACTTTTTTCCATTAGCTTGTGACCTTTTCATTTGAAATCTATTGATAAATGATTTTTTTTTGCAATTCTATCTAGTATGTTAACACTTCGAGTGTACTTAACGGATAGTGTGAGGATTGACCTTGCTACTGTATGTTTAATAATGGGATTTAGTACATGCTTACATAAAGCAGAGTAAGGATTTACTCCCAAGTAATTGGGAATAGGTGGTTTACAGTATAAATACAGTAAGTAAATACATACAGTATATATACAGTGTTTGTAGCCGCTGTGGGGGGGGGAGGTTGATGGGCTTTTTGTATTGTGGATTTTAATTCTGTAAGCCACCCGGAATCACTGTGTGTGAGTTGGATGGCCATATAAGTTTGTTTAATAAATAATAAAATAAACATGGAAACTGGCACCTGCTTTGAAGTTGTAGCTCAAATATACTTCTTTTAAAAAATCATGGCTATTTTTTCCTCTTTAGCAAGATGTTGCCTACCACATCAATTAATCCCCGAGATCAGGGCAATGGACCTTTAAATACTAGAGCATCAGCAAGACACACAGCAGGGGCAAAGCGCTATAAATACTTGAGGAGACTCCTCCACTTTCGTCACATGGACTTTGAGTTTGCTCTATGGCAGATGTTGTACCTATTCACTTCACCACAGAAGGTGTACAGAAATTTTCAGTATAGGAAACAAACAAAAGACCAGTGGGCCAGAGATGACCCTGCTTTCCTTGTGTTGCTGAGTATCTGGCTGTGTGGTGAGTAGCTGAAAACTTAAAGTATTGTTTTCTAGCTTGGTGCCCTGAAGTATTGGTAATAGTGAGTCCTCAATAACATATTGGTGATTTATGTAGTGCTCAATAAAACAGTAAACCATTACAGAATTGAGAGCTAGATGCACCATGCTGCATCTTCTTGAAAACTCTGATCACCTGTTGGTAGAGTCAAATCCATAGTATTTGTGAAGTAACTCAGAATTTTATGTGAACCCTAGCTAGTAACCACCAATGTCCAGTAATTCCCTGTTGGTAAGTGGGCTAATGCCAAGATAATCATCCCTGGTCTTAAAAAAACAGATTTATAACTCATTTTGTCAACTTAGAAACATCTCACTAGAAAAATACTACCAAGGTACCCTATGTACATACATACATACATACATACATACATATGTCTTAGTTTTCAGACTAGCAGCAGTATTGACCATAAAGGAATATGAAGTATTTGCTTGGAAAGATGAAACTAAGCAATATAACTTTATTGAAATGGAGGCATATTATATTGTTGAATGGGTCTTCTCTAAACAGTATTAAAAAAAATTTGAGGAACACGTGGCTATTCAAAGTTAGAGCATATTGTACACCATGAAATAATCAGATATGTCACTGCTGTTCATCTTCCTCCTTCAGTATCCACTATAGGGTTTGGCTTTGTGCTAAGCTTGGGATTCGTTGAAATGATAAAGCTGCTGCTGTGGGTTGTTTTTATAGACTGTGTAGGAGTTGGCCTTCTAATTGCAACTTTAATGTGGTAAGTCTCTTTAAAATAATCTTAAAATACAGGCTTTTGGATGTATATATTGCAAGTTCCAAACAGTGATTTATAATTAATAGTGAATTCCAGTATCAGCTCAAGATTTGGCTAAAAGAAAAGTCTAGAATATTTTAAATGATGGCGCGTAAATGATGCTCAGATACTGGATTTGCCTTCTGGAGAGGGTCATATGAATTTAAAACTAATTCTGAGTTCATTTGTTACCATATTACTGTTACTTGACATTTATGTATGCATCAGAAGGAGTACATGGAAGCCATCAGGGCTAGAAAATGGCTGGAAAAATATACTTAGGATTCTTTGGCACATAATAGGCACATATTATATCAGAGAGAATGGGAAAGAAATCTTTCTTCTCTTGTCCTGATTTGGGAAGAGGAAGGTCTAAAAATAAAATTTCTTTACTGAAGTGTACATTTGTATTTTTAATATTTTGCTAAGGAATCAAAACTTTTCTTTTGCTTTTACAACATTCCTTAAAAGAACTCTAAGATTTATTTTGAATTTCTAGATCAATAATATATTTGGATTTGAAAGTACTACAAAACCCCAAAAGAGTAAATGTTACACACAAGAAAGTTGTTTAAAGAGTTATTTCATGCTATGTTGAAATAGTAAAGCATTGCAATTTTAATATGTAGGTTCTGAATTTCCCCCCCAAAGGTTCATTTCCAATAAGTTCTTGCTAAAGCATCCGAACAGAGACTATGATGTAGAATGGGGATATGCCTTTGATGTTCATTTGAACGCTTTCTACCCACTTCTTGTCATCCTGCATTTCATCCAGTTGTTTTTCATTCACTGTAAGTATTTTTTTTAATTGAAGCACTTTTATTGTCTTGCTTGCTTTTATGCCATATACTGAGACTGAGTTATCTCTTGCAGATGTAATTTTATCAGCTTCATCTCTTGGCTATATTGTTGGGAATACTTTCTGGCTGATTGCAATTAGTTACTACATCTACGTGACATTTCTAGGGTACAGTGGTAAGTAACAGTACAGCTTTCAGCAAGAATAGGTATTGCAGATAGGAAGGAAGGGTCTTAATGGCAGCTGTACAAGCCTATGCGTAAATGGTATATCATGCTTTAGTTTATATTTAATTAGGATTTCACCATCCCACTTGAAAGCACTGGGCTTGGTGTATCTGGAACAGCAGATACTTGAGCTACAATTATACATGCCTGTATTGCACTGTGTTTAACAAATGAGGCATGCAACATGACAATGCAGTATGGACTGGTTCTCCTTAGGGTAGCAACCAGCTTTATCTTCTCCCTGGATATTTGCTGTTCTATTCTTATCCTTCCACTGATTTTGCTTTGCTTTTCCTCGGAAGTTTGCATTCCTTGCCTAATGGGTATGTTGAATCCCCCTTCAACATACTTTTTTCCTAAAGTAAACTTTTTTAGGCACTGGATCCGATCATGTGGTTACACAAGATTTTGGCCACTGTAGTGCTGAGATTTCTTAACATTTCAGCCATTTGTTATTTAATTTCAGGATTTGGTGCATGGCATCTGCAGGTACTACAAGGACCATTTATTATGTTTGAGGGGTCTTCTGCACCTGCTCTCTCTCTGTAGCGTAGATGGTGCCCTTTTACTTTCCTAAGAACCAACATTTGTAGACAGAGTTAGCAATTAGTACATAGAATTGGCTATATGGGGTTGGACCCATGAGAGGGAATTTGGCCTTTGTTCCCCTTAACATAATAATAGCAAGGTGGCAGTGCCTAGCCAAGCTAAGTGGAGTTGAACTGGTTAGTACTTGGAGGGGAGTCCAATACTGGGACTGTTGGCTAGACTGGGAATTTAAAAACACATCCCAGGTGGTGGTAGTGGCATTTTGGCCAAAAAGCAAGATGGATGTGTCCATGTAATCAGAGAGCAGCTCAGTTCAAGGAAGATTTTACTTTGGCTCCTTAGCACAGAACCTCCGTAGTTGTCTCGCCCAGCGAGAGGGCGCTGGCCGCTACTGAAGCAATAAGCCCAATCCCCCTCTTGTATACAGTGAATTGTGTAACCTACTGGATTGCGAAGACTGCTGTTTCCTCCACCAGCTTGTTTTTGTTTCAGGAGGGTTTCTATTTCCAAGAATTAGCAGTTGCTCTGGGGATGTGCTTTTTAGTGAAAATACACTAGCTTTCTTGCACACCAGAGGGCGTGCTTCCTGCTTTTTCTTACCGTTGATACAGCGGGAGGCAGTCTTGCTTTCTACTGAAGCTCTGCTCCCTCTTTCAGCACTGCCGTTCCTGAAGAACACCGTGATCCTTCTGTACCCGTTTGCGCTTCTCATCCTGATGTATGTGATTTCATTAGCAATTGGATGGAATTTCACAAAAGCACTTTGCACTTTCTACACATATAGAGTAAAATAAACTGGTCTCCAATAAATGGCATCTTGGGCAAATGTCAACCCTGGTGAGATGAAGATACTCTTGTACATTCCTGTAAATAACTTATTCCTCACTGTAGATCGGTGTATACAAAATATTTGGTTTTTTAAAAAATGTATTGACAGCTTCTGACAATAATTCTGTATTCTTCTCTATCCCTCCCTTGTGGAAGAGTTGTATATCTCTGTAATAAAGATTTTTTTAAAATCAAGTTTGCTTTTAAATAGATTTGTTCATACCCCTTTATACTTATTAAGTCATTCAATAAGATATTTTAAATTTCAGGATAAGACTAGTTTCAGTACAGAGGGTGATTTTATTTTACTCGTAAATACCCCGTGTGTTTTGAAGACAATGTTTTTCTCCGAAGCTTGGCTACCCTAGGAAAATCAAGGAATAATGCAACTGTTACCTCATAAATGCATGGGAGCTGGAGAAGGCTGTACCCCAGTTCAGGAGGGCAAGATAAGAAATCTTGAGTGAGGATGGTGTTTTTTTTAATTTTCTGAAATAAGACTCAGTTCTAAGCCTCCCTTGGGCATGAAAGCCAGGTGGGAGATTTTTGGCCAGTCACTCTCTCTTAACACAACCCACTTCACAGGGTGGTTGTTGTGGGGAAAATAGGAGGCAGGAGTATTAGGTATGTTTGCCACTTTACATTATCTCACAAAAAGGTGAGATAAAAATGTAACAAAAAGCCTAATGCTTCATATGGATCTGCTGGTAGCAGTAGCACAGCTTCTTTGAAGCTCATTCCAAATAAGGAGATAGTAAGGTGGCTAGAATATGGTTTATTGGCATCAGATAGTAGCCATCACTTGGGAAACACTCCCAACCCACTCTGTGGCCACGTACTCTGGAAAGTAGTCTAACCAGTCTTGTATTAGCCTGGAAGATAGTTTCTAACACATACGCAATTCTAGAGTGCCATTCAGGAGAACTGGAGCACATGGGAAAAGCATAAAGCAGTTGTGCTCGTAGATTTTACAGGATATATAAGCCTTTATAAGAACATAAAGCCTGACAAATTTTATAGAAAGTGTAGAGATTTTTATAATTGCACTCCTTTATTCTTGGGCTCACTAAAATGGCCATACCTTTTGCTGTTCATGTACAAAAAAGCTACAGTCATGCCACAGAAAATTTGAGAACGTTTCCTTTGTGATGTAGCAGCAAAATTACTGCAGATGGCTTCTGCAGCATTTCCAGTAATTCTTTACCAGTGCACATTAACCAAGATGCCTGTTATCCATTCACTCTTTCCAGTGGCACTGTCTAGCAGGTTAACACCTATCAGTAGAACGTGGTGTGTGACAACACTCTTGGAAGGATAAGAGGAAAAAGAATATTGTATTTACAGTTGTTTTTTTAAAGAATACAAATAATATGTAATAGTTTGCAGGAGGGAAAATGAAATGAATGAGAGAAATGGGAAATTGGATAAAAGAAATAAAGGGGAATCGTGTGAAAACGATAAGGAAAAAATGTAAGGGTATCGCTGCATATAATCCCACAAAGTGATCCTGCAGGACAAAGAACAATGTCACTGCAATTTTCCTTTTCATCTTCTCCCCCTAATCACCATCCCACCTCAGAAATTAAAAACTCTTCAGAAGTATCCCTTTCTGTGTCAGCTGGAGTTACACTGGGTCTGTGTATCTCCCTGTTAAAAAAACTTGCATGCAAAAAGCATTTTTGTAGGTTAATTTTAAGTGCACAACTGTCTCAAGTGGTATTTCTCTAATGCAAATACTTTCAGCCCCTCCCCAAAACCTTCCAATGTTTTTTTCTAGTTATGACTCCAGAATGCGGTTTTTAAAAATATTTATTTCAAATAGTACATGGGCAGCTCTGGCACATAGCGCATTGATGAAAGGCACAATTAACATGACCCAGTTAGGTTTTCAAATGTAGCAGCAAGATTAACAATATCAAAATCTAGCTCTAAAAAAGTTTTACAAGTAATGAAAACGATTAATCATACCATGGAGTGTCCCAAGGAGGAGTCTGGCTGTAGGACCAAGATTCACATTTCACAAGCACAAGAACAGAAGCACAACTAGAAAGCCGACAGAGCCAAAAAAGGAGTTGGGTAACTCTAAATGTTTTAAAACAGTAAATTGGTTCCTACTGACAATCAAAATAGCATCTTCAAAACACCATAATTCAAGTAATGTACAAGTTGTTCCTTTCTCCAGAAGCAGACTCAGGAGGAAATAGACTGAATTTGAGACCTAATAGGCAAGAATGGGCACGAAGCAATATTTGTAGTTTTACAGGGAGAAAGGAAGAATTTCAAAAGCTCCCTTGGGGCGGGGGGGGGGGGATTTCAAAACCTCTTTTAAAAAATTGGGTTTTTTTTGGGCACCAGAGATATCCAGACACCTATTAATATTTAAAATAACTATGCTTAATTATCATCTGCTAAGATGTAATATTTCAGTTTTAAAAATGAAGTATGCTAGCAACTTGAACATTCGGTTCAGCTGCACTTATATTAAGAAAATGTGTCAGGGGACTGCAACTATGATGGGCACATTTAGAACGTTGAGAACATATCACAACCCTAGCAAAATGAAATTTGGGAAGAGCACCTGCCTATTCCAATATGGCTAATAGGAG